GGGGGTGAAGAGACAGAGACACGCAGAGAGAGTATGACTCATGGTAATGGTGTGAGTTTGGGGTGACTGTGCATGTGTGTGCATGTGTGTGCATGCTTGTATGTATGTGTATGTGTGTGTGTTGTGTGCGGGATGGGGGGCCGGGTCTGTGACTGGGAGCGAGTGTAGCGACGGAGGCAGCTGACGCCCGGAGAGTTGGCGCGGCTGGGTGAGGACGTGTTGTCGATGCCGATTGGAGGAGCACACGGAAGTTTGCACACGGCATGGGACTCTGGATCTGATTCTGATGAAGACGACACGGACAAGGTGGTGTGGGAGGTGTGGAACCTGCTTGACTCGTACCATGAGCAGTCGGCCATCAAGACACACGTGACGATGAAGCCGCTGGAGGGCCTCATCCGGTCGCGGTCGCGGTCGCGGACCAAGGGCCAGGACAAGACGACGATCGGCGCCGGATACAAGGGCCCGCACCTGCCCGAGGTCCTGACGCTCGAGTCGGTCATTGCCATGCTCGACCACTTTCGGACTGGGCGTCAGCTCCACTACGTGTACGCCAAGCGGCTGCTGAAGGAGGCGACGCACATTCTTCGCGACCGGGCGACGATTGTGGACATTCCGGTCAAGAAGACGGTGACGGTGGTGGGTGACATCCATGGGCAGCTCCGCGACCTGCTCAAGATTCTCTCGCTCAACGGCTACCCGTCCGAGGACAACGTGTACCTCTTCAACGGGGATTTTGTGGACCGCGGTGACCAGGGCACCGAGGTCTTTCTCTCGCTCTGCGCTTTTCTCATTCTCATGCCCAACGCTGTCTTTCTCAACCGCGGCAACCACGAGACGCTCGAGATGAACCAGACGTACGGGTTCATGAAAGAGGTGAAGCGCAAGTACGACAAGGCCATGTTCCAGCTGTTCCAAACCACGTTTTGCGCGCTGCCACTCGGCTCTGTGGTGGGCAACAAGATCTTTGTGGTCCACGGCGGACTCTTTCACCACGTCGACCTCCCGCTCTCTGTCCTCCGCAAGATCCGCCGCGAGGTCCAGCCGGAGCTCGGGCGGCTGTCGAGCGTGGAGGACCAGATCATGGAGGATCTGATGTGGTCGGACCCGAAGGACTCGACGGGCATCACGCCGAACAGGCAGCGCGGTGCCGGCGCCCTCTTTGGGCCCGACGTCACCGAGCAGTTCCTCGAGGCCAACGACCTCTCGCTCCTCATCCGGTCACACGAGATGAAGGAGCGCGGGTACGAGGTGGCGCACGGCGGCCTCCTCGCCACCATCTTCTCGGCCTCCAACTACAACGGCGCACAGAACCACGGAGCGTATGGAGTCATCTCGTCGTCGCTCGAGGTCAAGATGAAGAAGTACTCTACGCTCACCGCCGAGGAGGTCCCGCCGCCCGAGGAACGGACCGCCATTCTCATCAAGGCCGTCCAGGACCGGCTCACCGAGCTCGTCTGTCAGCACCGAGTCGAGCTCGTGTGGTACTACGACGCGCTCGACGTCGGGCGGACCGGTAAGGTCTCGCTTCCTCAATGGGCGCAAGGCATGCAGTTTGTGCTCCAGCTCGAGCTGCCGTGGAAGAAGATCTACGGCTTCCTCCTCGATGCCGACTGTGTCGATGATGAGACCAACGAGGTGTGGTACGTCAAGTTCCTTGAGAAGAACAAGATCGATGTCGGCAACGTCGACTGGGGCCAGGACATCATCAACAAGGTCAACCGCAAGATCTACGAGACGTGCCGGACGGCTGAGGCCGCGTTCCAGTACTTTGACGCCGACGGCGACGGCGTCATCTCGTGCTCCGAGTGCGCGTCGACGCTCCTCGCTCTTGACATTGGCCTCAATGACCGCCAGATTTACGAGTTTATGCGAAGCGTCGACTCGGACATGGACAACTCGGTCAGTCTGGCCGAGTTCCGCTCGCGCTTTGAGGTCGTTTTTGCCTCGGACGGCTCGGTCTCGGACGACTGGGCGCAGACGCTGGTCAATGAGATCGGCAAGCGGCTCTTTGAGCACGAGGCTGACCTCTCCGAAATCTTCCACAAGTTTGATGCAGACGAGTCGGGCACCGTCGACATCGAGGAGTTTGGTCGCATCGTGAAATACCTCGGCTACACCCTCACCCCCGAGGAGCACGACCGCCTCATGGCCTTTGTCGACACCGATGGCTCGGGCCACCTCGACTACGAGGAGTGGCTCGCGGCCTTTGCCGTTGTCGACGCTGCCGACTCGACCCACTGGCAGGAGAACGTCATGCAGCAGATCAACTCGGTCCTCTACCGCAACAAGGATCACCTCCAGCGGATGTTCAACATCTTTGACGTCGAGGACCAAGGCGTGCTTCCGCCCGAGGACGTCCGTGTCGGCCTCGCCACCCTCAACGAGCTCCTCTCCTCGCCGTTGACAGAGATGCAGATCGACGTCCTCCTCAACGCCCTCGAGAAGGATGACAGCGGCCACATCATCTACCAGCCCTTCCTTGACAACCTCCGCATTGTCAACACTGACAAGAAGGCCACAAAGTACTTTGATCAGAGTGGCTCCAGCACCAAGCGCCACCACAAGCACAAGAAGAAGAAGAAGAAGAAGGAGAAGGAGCGCCACGCCTAGTCGCCGTCCTATCTCTCCAAGCTCCGTGCCCAAGCGCCACGCGTAGGGGGATCGACTTCTCGGCGAGCTCCGTGCTCTTGCTTGTCATGTAAAGTACTCGTCGTTTACATCCACGAGTCGTCAATGCCCGACTCGTCGCCATCCACAGTCATGTTTGCCCGCCGGATAGTGAAGAGGTGCTGCCGCAGCGCATCAGCCGGGGCCTGCGCCCCGTTGACCCGCTCGCGAAGCGGGGTTGATGGCCGTGACCCACCACCACCGTGGCTCTTACGCGACCGCAGATTGAGCTCAAACGAACCGTCGTCGGCCGACGATGACCACGCCGACTTGTCCAGCGGTGAAGCTGCAGCGTTCTCGGCGTTGTCCTGCACAGACGCCAGCTTGGTCCACATGTTCTTGAGCGAAGTGCCGAGTGCTTGCTCCATCGGCGTCGACTGCGGTCGGTTCGAGCGCGCGATGCGGTTGCACTCGCCGTCTGGCCGTTCCGTCGCCTTGCGAAGCAGTGTGCTACGGTTGGTGGTTCGGATGGCGTCGAGGAGAGCGTTGGTTCCCGCACCAGAGTGCCGCGGCGTCGACGACGGCGGTTCCGACGACAACGATGGCGGCGGCGGCGGCGGCGGCGGCGGCGGCGGGGCGGCAAATGACGTCGCGACAGGTGCTGGTGGCGGAGACGGCGGATGCGGGATTGTCACACTTCCTGATGCGGCAGCAGGAGCAGCGACGGTAAGCGGCGGCGGCGGCGGCGGTGGCGGAGCGAGCGCTGCCAATGGTGGAGGAGGAGGCGGGAGAAGTGAGCGGGCAAGAGGCGCGGGCGGAGCGGGTGCAACATCCGAAACCCTAGCCGAAGAGGCCATGATAGACTCGTCAAAGACGACCCAGTCACGGAGGCCGGGTGCCGAGGCCGGGATCACGGTCTGAGGGCGGGCCGGCGGCGGCGGCGCAGCCGACGGCTTGGCCGACGGCGAGGGCGACGGCGAGAAGGGAGCGCACATGGAGTTCAGGTCTGGCTCGGTCTCCCACAGTGGGTTTGGGTCGAGCGAGGCCTGTCGCGGCGAGCGATGCGGCGAGGCAGTGAGAACGGTGACCTCGAGCGGAGTCTGGGTGATGGACGACAGCTCGCGGAACGAAGGCGAGGCCGGCTGTCGCACCGACATGGCAGCCTCGAGCTCGGCGATACGAGCGAGCAGCGGCGCAGTGGCCGCGGCAACAACTTCATGCTGAGCCAGCGCAAAAGAGCGAGTTTGAGCCGCCAGTGCCTCGCTATGAGTGGCATTGATGGCGGCAATGCGTGCGTCGTAGTCAGCAGCGAGCGCGTCGAGCGCGGCACGGCGCTCAGCCTCAGCCCGTGCAGCCCACTCGGCCTCCTTTCGCTTGAGGTACTTTTGAACTTGCTCCTTAGTGCCTTGGGCATCGACGGCCGCTTGATAGCCTCTTCCTCGTCGTTGTTGCTGTTGGCCGGGAGCGGATCGGTGGGTGAGAGCAGATCGCTGGCTGACGCCGCTGTCGACGTCGCCGACGCCGACAGGTCGACAAGCGAGAGGCCCGGACGAAAGCCCGAGGCTGAGAGCTCCGAGAGTGAGCGGGAGACGTCCACCGAGCAGACGGCCGAGGCTGAGGCTTCAAGCGCAGCGCGGGCGGCCTCGCCAAAGACGTTGCCCGAGACGTCGAGATGGACCAGCGAGTCGTTGGCATCGAGAGCGGAAGCAAGCTCAAAGGCGCCCTGGTCGTCGATGGCGTTGCCGGCGGCATCAAGGCGGGCAAGGACCGGATGACGAGAGAGAAAGGCAGCAAGGACGAGAGCGCCACGATCGCCGAGATCACAGGCAGCAAGCTCGAGGACTCTGAGCGAAGGCAGAGGAGCGACGACCGATGGAGCCGGTGAGGAGAGAAGGATGGCGAGGAGCGAAGGACCAAGAGGATTATGAGAGAGATCGATGTGGGCGAGAGCAGAGCATGATCTCAGTGAGCGAAGTATGGCTTCTGTATGAACGATGGAGAGAACGTTGGCGGCTTTGAAAACGGTGAGCGATGCCGCCAGCGACGGGCGGAGCAGATGGCGCGTCAGCACACTCACATCCTGTTCATCGAGTCGACGGTCGAGGGCAGACAGATCCCACACTCCGTTGCCTTGTTTCTTGCTCAGCATAGCCCTCTCTACCTTGCCTCTCACTTGATGTCGGACGTGACGTGAGGTGACGTGAGGTGGTTGCCTCCGAGCGCTCGTTGGCACGCACGCGCGCCCAGTCAAAGTTTGAGTGAATAGGACGAGTGCCAACGATAAATCCACCGAGAGTTTATTGATGGGTGCCACACGATAAATCCAACGAGAGTTTATTGATGGGTGCCACAACGATAAATCCAACGAGAGTTTATTGATGGGTACCACAACGATAAATCCAACGAGAGTTTATTGATGGGGTGCCACACGATAAATCCAACGAGAGTTTATTGATGGGTGCCACAACGATAAATCCAAAGAGAGTTTATTGATGGGTGCCACAACGGTAAATCCATCGAGACTTTATTGGTGGCCGGCCCCACGATAAACCCATCGAGACCATCGATAAAAAGCCGGTGGCCCAAGCGTCAGTCGCCACCGCCAGCCATACCCCCACCTGCCGCCAGACTGGCCACCACCCCTCCCCAATGGCACCCAAGCGGTCAGCAGGTAGAGGGATCACGGTGCCTCTGCCGCCACATGCAGTGCTCTCGGCCGCACTGGTGCAGGCCGGCGGAGGGCCAAGAGTCAGGCCAGGAGAGCCCACGGCTCGGGCACTGCGTGTGGCGGCGGCTGCGGCTGTGGGAGCCACCGTCGACGAACTCGGCTCAAGCGCGAGAGAGCCAAGGGAGAGAGCCACTGAAAGCATGGTCAAAGACAGCGGCAAAGGCAAAGAGCGTGGGGATTCAGCTTGGCAGGCGCATGCACAGCGAACGAATGGAAAAATGAGTCGGAGCTCGCACCGTTCGCCGCGGCACAAAGCTGCTCGGGCGACCATTCTGGCTGCGCATGTGGCGGCCGAGGAGCAGCGGCTGGCGGCAGAGATGGCCGATGCAGCGGCAGCAAGAGCGGCGACAAGAGATGCCGCCCTGGCGGCCCGGCTAGCTCAGATCAAAGAAGAGCTGGAGGAGGAGGCTGCCGCCGCAGCTACCGCGCTGGATGCGCAGCGAGAGGCCGCCGCCGCGGCGCTCACCCGCGAGGCCGCCGCTCTCGACGAGCTGCATGCCAGGGAGCGGGCTGCAGCAGAGCGGGTGATGGCAGCCAAGGCCCGCGAGGCTCGCGAGATTGCGGCAGCCGCAGAGCGCGAGCGCGAGGCCATCGACGCCGCCCGCCGCCGCCGCGAGGGCGCCGTCGACGATGCTGCAGCCGCCCGCGCCGAGGAAGAGCGCCGCAAGCGCATCGTTGAGCGGACAGAGACGCTTGTGGCCGACGGCGTCATCCCGGCACTCAACGAGACGACCGAGGAAAAAATGGATCGGAACCGCGAGGTCTTTGAGCAGCGGTTGCAACAGGTGCGGGAGCGGCAGGCCGAGCGCAGAGCCGCCGCCGCCGCGGCTCTGCGAGCCAAGGAGGAGCGCAACACAATCTTGCTCGAGCGGCGGGCGCGCGAGAACCACTCACGCCGCTCCGCACGCCAGCGCGCCATGGACGAGCACCGCGCCCGCAAGCGCGCCGCCCACCGCGAGCACCTCGCCGCCATCGCTCGCCGCAAGGCCGAGTCCGTCGCCCGCGCCCGCGAGCACGCCAAGCGGCAGGCCGCGATCCGCCGGCAGCGCGACGAATCGATTGCTGCTGCCGCCGCCGAAGCCGCCGCCCGCGAGCAGGCCGCCCGCGACAAGGCCGCAGCCGCCGCAGAGCTCGAGCGCAAGCATGCTCTCGAGAGCCACAAAGCGGCGATGGCCAAGATGCGCGCCGCAGCCGCCAACCGCGCAGCAGCAGCCTCGGCTGCCGCCCAAGAGCTCGAGCGCCGCCGCGCCATGCGCGAGGCCTGGCAAGCCGAGGTCGATCGCAAGAAGCGCCAGCAGGCGTACGAGGTCCAACGCGCCCAAGAGCTCGTCGACGTTCAGCGCGAGGAGGAGGCCTGGGTGCGGGCTATGGAGGAGCGCCTCGCCGCCGAAAAGGCCCGCGCCCAGCACGCCATCCGCATGCAGGCGGCAGAGGCACAGGCCGAGCTCGCTGCTGAGCATGAGCGTGAGATGCGTGCACTCAAGGTCCGCCACCGAGCCGTCGCCGAGGAGCTCGACGAGCTGGCGACTGCCGCCGCACACGCGCGGATCGACCCTGCTGCGCCCGCAACTCCCGACGCCGGACTGGCAGATCCCAAGCCACCAACACGGCCACGTCGTAAGCGCAACAGACCATCGACCCGCCGCCAGCGGCCACTCCGCCCACTCCGCCCGCGCACCGCCGCCGACGCGCGGCTCATCGCGGCGTACGGCCCCAAACCGCCGCCGCAACGCCGCCGCTCCCGACCCCGCAAAACACCCGTCCCGCAAAACGGAGGACTGCCGGTCGATCCCGAGCCGGTCGAGGCGAGCGAGCGCAAAAGAGTCAAGAAAAAGAAGCACGAGGTGGCGGCCGAGCCGCCCCTGCTGCCGCTGCCGCCGTCGCCGTCGACTCCGCCGCCGGCCGGCGATGTCGCCCCTGCTGGAGGCGCCGCCGCTGAGGCGGACTCGGGCGAGGGTCCACACACACTCGAGAGCCCGCGCTCAGTCGAGAAAGAGTATTGAATGGTCGTGTCCGTGGTTTACCGGAATGCGGAGAGGGTGCGCGATCGAAGGCGTCACATGATGGCGCACGAGGACTTGGAAGAGGGCGTGGCGGCTTCGGCCTCGAGCGACTCGACCCGCGACCAGACACCCATCCAGCGGAGGCACGGCGGATTTGTCTGGGCCCAGACGGCAAACTCGTCCGCGTCAATGACGCCGTCACCATTGGTGTCGACGGTGGCAAAGCACTCGGCGACGTTTGCGGCGAGCTCGGCGTCGGTGTGGCCGACGGGGGAGATGCCGGACGAGCCCTCAAAGACGGATCGGAGCGACTTAAAGTACGAGAGAAGCTCGTCCGAGTCGATGCCGCCGTCATTGTCCTCGTCGAGGACGTCAAAGAGGGCGGCGAGCTTGGCCTCCTGCGAGCCGCCGCAGAGGAGCGATGCGCCGACGACAAACTCGTGGAACTCAACAGTGCCCGAGCCGTCGCGGTCAAAGAGGCCAAAGAGGCGGTGGAGGGCAGCAGTGGCCTGGTTCCGCTCCTCTTCGGGCAGGCTCGCCGGAAGCAGCTTGGTCAGCGCCCGCTCAAAGCCGGCCGCGTCGAGGACCATGACCTCGCGGGTCGCACCCGCCGCGGCGGCCGAGCTCGAGGCTCTAGCGGCGGCAGGCGCGGCATCGGACGCGTTACTCGCGGCCTTGGCAGCCTTGGCCTCGGCCTTGGCGGCCTTGCGGGCAGCCTTGCGGGCGGCGCGCTCTTCGAGGCGGCGGAGGCGGGCAGCCTTGTGGGCGTCAAACCGCTGGCGCTTCTGCTCTCGGCGCTCACGGATGATTTGGTTCTTGGCCTCGCGCTGCGAGTCGTCCGACGCCGAATACGTGAGGTCGGATGAGTCTGTCTCAAACTCCTGGTTCTCGATGCCGGCGTCGGGATCGTTCTCCGACGACGAGTACGACGAGTAGTACGACGACGACGACGACGAGTCGACGTTGGCCTTGCCGTTAGAGACCGGAGCAAGCGAGACGCCGGCGCCGGCACCGGCCGCGCCCGCGTCGTCGCTACCGCCGTCGATTGGGACGCGCTGCTCGCGAAAAGCGGCCTCGTTGCGGAAGACCTCGAGGAGCTCCGAGACCTCGACCTCATCAAAGTGGGTGGCGTGGGCAAGGTCCTTCACCGACATGACCGCGGCGTACGTCGGCGCGGCCGCCTCGTCAGGGTTGGGCGAGAGCGGGTCCGGCACACGCGGATCGCGCCAAGTCGTCTTCTGGGTGTTGTGGTCGATGAAGAACGGCTGGCCGTTCTCGTGGATCCGCATCTCCCATCCAGGCGGAAGCGCAGCGCCCGAAGCCGTCTGAATGACTTCCCGATCACCAACTACGAGGACCGAGTATGGAGTGCCGGTAAAGATATGAGGCATGCGGGCGAGGAGATGGAGCGGAGAGACCACGCCAGCTTCGGACATGACGCCTGTGATCTTGACAGACTTTGGAGTGTTTGGCGAGCGAGAGATGATTTTTGGAAAGGCAGCAATGATGGCCTTTCCCAGCAACTCTACCTCTTCTTCGAGCATAGCCGGTGCGAGGAGAAAGCTCTTGACCTCTTTCATATGACGAAGACGAACCGTATGAGCTTGAAGCGGCGAGATCATGCCCGGTGTCACCACTCCCTCGGCCTCCACTGCATTCCCTCCTCCGACAGCAAGTCCTGCAAGTGGTGCAGATGCTGATGCCCCTGCGGTCGTGTTGATCCTCGGGGGTTCCCTGAACAGGCCGGGAGGAGGGGGGGGGGGAGGGGGTTAGTTGTGCGTGTGGGGGAGGGGGGGGAAGGGGGGGGGGAGGGGCGAGGTCGTAGAAAAAGT